ACAGACATGATTTTGAATAAAATAGGGAAAGATCACTCACGATGACTCATTGAAATTGCAAGTGAACCAGAGATGGTATTGCTTATTTTTATGAGTCATAGCTTGTCGTAACAATTACATGGATTTCCTCAGAAAAAGTTATAATGATGTAATGAACAGCTCATCAAGTTCAAAAAAAAATGTGGAATGAACTCGCTCAATGTATTCCTGGATAAGTTACTGAAAAGAAAAAAAAAAGATTAAGAAATAGTCATTAAGCTCTATACTATTCTGTGGGCAAGGACAAAAGCTGTAAAATTGAAAACTTGTTTCCAAGTTGGCCTTTTAGGTTTAGTCTGTTTGTACAGTAAAACTGTGAAGAATTATCTGACAGCTTCAATTAATCTAATTGGAGAGATCTAATCAGATCTATCTCATAGGGAGTGGGGTTGAAACCAACAATGATATAAAAGTCTATAACTAATCAAATGAAATTTAGAAATGCTCTTCTGAACTTACGATGTCACTTCCACCAAATTGCAAAATTCTAAAAGGATGTATCCACTTAAATAATGTCATCACACATCAGAAGAATAAGAGTCACTTAAATGATCTCATTTGCAACTGATTTAACCTTCCAATCCTAAATGAAGGTATAGTAGGATATTTTTGCTAATTTGATAGAAGATATTCAAATGTCATGTTCTAATAATATTTGAGAAATGCTAACTGCCAAAGGGTCTCTAGTCCAACTGGTTAGAGCATCCCGGCGGCACTCCTCAGGTCCTGGGTTTGACTCCCTATGGGAGCGAATTTCAGGTTACGGTTAAAAAAATCCCCTCGTCTGTCACACGCCAAAGCACAGGTCTAAGGACCGGCCCGTTCTCACAGAGCGACGGTGCCGCTGTGTAAGGGTGGGGCAGAGGTTCGGGGGTTTTCTGGGCCTGCGTGAGAAGGTCTTCTTCTTAATGCAATGCCTGGGGGTGGTCATACCCTCGCAGGTCCAGTTTTATATTAAAAAACTAAATTACTAATGCAAAAAACTCTAGATGGCTATAAAATATTAAGCAACTCACAAAGAAATAAGATAACTTGAAGGAGAAATCTCATTTCAGAATATGCATTTGATATTTTTAAAAAACAGTAGCAGACGAAATATCTATTAGAAGTTTAGAACATAGGTTATGAGAAGGTTTCTCTTACCTGTAGCGTTGCCAAAGGAGCAGAAGGTCAAATTTGTATTGCAAAATAGATCACCTGGACAGAGATGGCAGAATCTCAGTCCAAGGTGACTTTTGAGTATACAAAAGCTGGTAATGTTTGTCCGTGAAGCTTAGGCCACAGAGATCAAACACATTAGGCATGACAATATCTCTAATTAAGACTAAAGACTCAGGAAGATTTTTTCTATTATCTAGTATCCTTCCAGCATTGATGAGTTTCACATAATTGTCGGTTCAAAACCTGCTATACTTTGTCATCACTAAATGTAAACAAAGGTTCACTGCACAGAATCAATAATGTTTGCTTGTGGAATTGCCAAATAGATATGATATATAGAAAATGCTCATGCTTCTAAATAGAGTGTTCCACTGGTTGGGGAGGAAGCATCATGGTCCGCATTTCCACAACTCCGTCAAACTGGGAGAATGGCGCACAACGGCCTTCATATCAGCAATGTTTTCTCTGAAAGCAGGTTGCCAAGTATCATAAAATCCTGGAGTTCAGGTTGCTGCACCAAATAGCAAAGTAATGCCTAGTGAGTCTGCATGCCTAACAAGAGCGTATTCCTTCTAAGGACAAATCTTAACTTCTGATTTCAGACTACTGGGAGTACAATGCTATGACATCACAGCGCTGTTGGTCTTATAATCTCTAAAGATTGAGAAATTTATCTACCATTAAATCTGATAATCTGATATGAATTATGCATACTCTGAATGAATAACTCGTTAAGATGTGTTGCAAAATAGAAATTACTTGATGTCATAGATTTTGTAATATATAAGCAACAATATTAATTCTAAATATAAGCCTATACATTATGAGCCTTGGGAGAGAATTATCATATAATATTTGTTTTTGCAATTGTACAGTTGGAGATGTAGTATTCAAAGTGATGATAGAGGTTAACAATATACATAGAAGGAAAAGATAGTGGCGAGCTCATGTTAAGAAATTACAATTAAATACACCATTATATCTATGTGTAGAATCTCAAAAAAATTTCAAAAGGAGTTTGGATTTGATGAGTTCTTACATGGATAATTAAATGGAAAAAGTCTACTTAACCCCCCACCTTTCATACATGGCCTACTTCACCCCCCACTATGAAACCGTCTATTTTACCCCCTGAACTTTTTAAAACCGTCTATTTTACCCCCTGGGCGGTTTTCAGCGGCAGTTGCTACAGTAACTGTGGATTGCTACAGTACGGTAGTTGCTACAGTATTAGATTTTCCAATTAATCTAAAGATAAAAAAAATTGTACTAAAGCATACCGTATTATATATTCACTGTGTAGATCTACTCATGTGGAGTCCACTAAAATTAGATTTTTCTATGATTTACTGTGATTTTTAAAAAATTCACCGAAAAGAAATAAAAAAAATTCAAAACCACCGGCACGGTAACAAACCCACCGTTACTGTAGCAACCGATGTTACTGTATCAAAACCGCTGCTGAAAACCGCCCAGGAGTAAAATAGATATTTTAGAAAGTTCAGAGGGTAAAACAGACGGTTTCATAGTTGGGGGTGAAGTAGACCAAGTATGAAAAGTGAGGGATTAAATAGACTTTTTCCATAATTAAATTATCTAACTTCTACCATTCACCTGTTTCATAAAAAAGCACGCAGAGAGGCTTGGCTGGTCGCTTTAGCTCTGCTTCCCGGGCAGTGCCTGGGCACCATGGCTGCTTGCTCGGAGAATGCCTGCCTCCGTATGGATCTGCAAGCTGGCACCTAACATCCCCTTCCAAGGCAGCCACAACCGCCGCAGAGATGCAGTTTGCCGGAGGGCTGATGGAGGTAGTGGTTGCAGCTGGAGCAAAGGGGTGACGCGGAGTCTTGTCAGGCGCACGGGGTCGCAAGAGACCGCGCACAGAGACGGTGTTTCGTTTTCGTGGAGGGACATGCCGTCGCGGAGGCCGTGGAGGCGCCCGCGCCAAGCTCGAGCGTGAAGCGATGGGAGGGGGCGAGGGGCTGTGTCGAGTTGGGGAGGGGGATGGGGAGGAGCGGCCGATGGCCGAGGGTGGAGGACGGGGCGATTCATGGGCTTAGCATGGTGGACCAGCTGACCGGCAGGAAGTGCCGAAGGGAGAGGCGGCGGCATGACTGCAGGCGGGGATGGGTGAGGCTGATGGAGAAAAGGGAGGAGAATTCGAGACGGGGCGAGAGCGAGAGGAGAGGAGCTGACCGATCAAAGAAACCAGACACGTGGCAAAATAATAGGCTAGAGTTGTTGGTGCAGATTTCGTCTTGTAAAGATGGCCGCAGCATGGAAAATTTTCCGGCTCGGCATGACGGCATCCGTCTCGGCCCTCGTTGATCGGGCTCGGCACCTTGGAGGAAACCGAGCAGGGGACGCGGCGGCGGCGCCTCTCAAGACCATCGCCCGCTGCGCGCACGCACAGTGAGCGCGTCGACGTCCCACGCCCCACGGTTAATTACGCCCGGCCGGCGCGCCACGTCATCATGTCCGTCCGATTATTCATGTGAGCTGTGCTGACAGCGACACGGACATGTTCGTGTTGGACCACTGCCGCTGTTGGTTTCGTCGCGTCTGGAAGCCCCTAGCCCCAGGCGGCAAGGCCCTCCTAGAGTACGAACGGTACTGCACGGACGCCGTAGATGATCTGCGGTACGGAGAGATAGCTGCCCGCCATCGGCTACTTCCCTGCGCCGCGCTGGGTGTGTCTTATCTTTAATTAATTAATTGATAAGATCCTGCTCGTCAGGTAGGTTCCATAGACGCTGTGACGAATTGGTTAGCTCGTGAGCAGGTGGTGGTTCGTAGCCACATGGAATTAAATTGCGGATTAGACTGCGCTGCGGGACCGCACGCTGCTCCGATCTCGATTTCCTGTCTTTTTTGTACAAGGTCGATTGCACGGCGCGTGTGGAATTCCACATTTTTTTGAGAAAAAATTCCATATATTAATTAATTCCCTGCATTTTAGAAGTGATTAAACCCGGCCCAGCAAATGCCACGGCCCGGTGCGTATGCACCACAACTGGGCTATGGCCTGACAGGAGATTGTAATCGGAGTTTATCACAGGCCCATCTAGTTTCTTTCTTTCATCACTGAGCGACTGGTTTCCAATAGAAATGTTGAGATTCGTAATTTTTAATTGCCTTAACCGACGTACTCGTTCTACCTTCAAATTTTCGACCTAGAATGTTTTGTTTGCCACTACGTCGGCAACCAGATCAAATCATCTTAACAGCTCCACCGATGCCTACCTCACGCAGTACAACGGAAATGGCCTAGGCAGATAAATTTAACTCCAATTCCCACCTATCTAATTTCAGGCCTTGTTTGGGTCGGGTCAGCTAAAGTTAATAAAGAAACTGCTAAAAGAAAACCTCTACCTGATCCATCCAACCACCTTGTAACTAATAGAAAGCTATTAGCTGCCCCCAGCTAATGCAGCTAACTACTGTTTACAGGGGGGGCGCTGTTCAGTGAAACGGAATCTGTGCAAGTGTTGCAGTAGAGCAGAAGATGAAACATCTGCATGTGCATGACATGGGGCACCAGAGAAAATTTCAGTTGCGCATTATCATAGCACGAGCAGAGGAAATTATAACCCGGGATCCATAACCACAAGTGAGGAATTGAAACTACTGCGGTGTGATGCGGAAAACCGAATGCAGCAGTTGATGCATCAATATACATACGCACAAACTTCTTATTTCGTACTACCAGAGAAAGAAATGCATGACAACAGAGGATCCCTTCACCTGTTCTATATCAGTACGTATACTAGTAACTAGTGTAGCTGCTCTTGTTTGCCAGCCTACGGAAGAACGGTCCTCACCACCTTCCTGTCTACACCAAAGGACTGCATCACGGGAAAGATCATTAGTTAGCACAGAACATCCACTTCGGAGTGTTACTCTACATCATGTTCTTACATCACCCTGCAAAACTAACCTACAGCAAGCAGTTTCAGTAGACAAGTAGGTACAGTTAGCGGCAAACGTACTATATATATAAGCAACAGGTTTTGAGTTGAAGTTCAATTTGTGCTACGCTGCAAGTTGGCTTTTATAATTCAAAAAGGGTATATGCAAATCCTCAGAAAAGACAGTGTCCATGAATCATAGGAATTGGCATGGAGAACTACTGAAGCACTAATCTTGATTCTTGAATGAACTATAAGCCCTTAATATCTGTACTTACCTCCAAACCGCAGTCATTCACATAGACATTTTTGAAGAGCTCAGATGGATCAGGCATTGGACTCTCCTGCGTATAAAAAAAATCCGATGAACTCGTAAGCACAATTAGTCCGAATAAATGGACATACAGATATACTAGAACATATTAACTAGTAGAAAAGAAGAGATTGCCTTAAGGAATTTAATATATCAATTAAATTTTTATTCTATCTGGCAAGTAAAGGATGTTCAAGGCCATGCACTTCTGTCATACATTTGTACTCTTAACAATCTAAACAATACCTTTAGCTCTTGGGCCGTTGCAAAATCATGGGCCAATATGAGCTTCCTAACCCTTTCAATTGGGTCGCGCTCCTGTGTATCATAATTTCATAGACAGATAAATCATTCAGAATAATGTTTATCCCCTGAGGAACACATTTTTCAGGTGGCAAGACAAGTGCCATCCTAACCTGTCTTATCCCAGCAATCTCATCCCTAGTGCGGTAGGTGCTACCTGGGTCTGACATAGAGTGCCCATGGTATCTATAGGTGTCCATCTCAAGGATCTAAAATATGAAATGAATAGAACCATGGTGATCAGCATCTTTAAGAAGAAAGTCTAAAATCACAAAATATATGTCCATGTCTCCATGTGAACTGAAAGGAGGAAGGATTGCGTATAAAGTGTGGATGTATTGCATTGCATATGGTGGTATAAATAGAGTACAAGACTATACAAGAGTATAGAATTAGGGATGTACAGTAAATACTTACAAGAAAAAAAAAAGGCGTAAGACCTAGGCTGTAGATTAGCATAAGATTTTTTTTTTCAAATACTAATGCTTCCAGGATAACTTCATCCACTATAATGAACAGGTTGCAGACCCTCAAATCAGAACTAGGAGTATTGCCAGTGAGAAATATACAAAGTAGACAGCCAGAAATGCTGGCAAAACATGTTTCTAGGTGTAAGGAGTCCACACTTTGCATTGACTACCTTACACAAAGTATTGCATTCTGGACTTGCTTGTTGAATAGAACATGATGATATGCAAAGGTGCAAAACAAAACGGAAAAATGTATACGGTAACATATGCCAGCAAAGGAAATCCACAGCCCGTTCGGTACGCTGGCTGGTGCTGGGCTTATCAGCCCAGCCGTTCGGCAGCCCAGCACCAGCCAGCCCCAGCCGAACGGCTGGGCTTATATCCGTTGCGGACTCTTGTCCGTCACTTTCTCCCCTTCCTCCCGTCGCTCGCGGTGGCTAGGGTTCCCCGCTGACGCGCCGCTCCTCGCCTTCCCGCCGCGCATGTACGGGCGGTAGCTCACGGCCAAGGCGTCACGGGCCGCCGTCGGTGGCCCCTAGATCCGGCTCGGCCGCCTCAGATTGGTCCTCCTCGACGGGGCTACGGTGAAAGTGTCGTCGCCCTCTTCCCCCACCCCGCCTCCATCGACGACGACTTCGGCCAGCGAGGTAACCCGGATCCCACGCCTCCGTCCTCTCACCTGGCCGCCTCTGAGCCGCAGCTGGTCCTCTTGTAGGTTGAGCTCCGCGCGGCTAGAGTTTCCCTCACTCTCGCCGACCTCGGTGACATTGGGCTCGGCCTTCCTCCCCGGACCCTGCCTCCATCGACGACGACTTCGGCCAGCGAGGTAACCCGGATCCCACGCCTCCGTCCTCTCACCTGGCCGCCTCTGAGCCGCAGCTGGTCGTCTTGTAGGTTGAGCTCCGCGCGGCTAGGGTTTCCCTCACTCTCGCCGGCCTCGGTGACAGTGGGCTCGGCCTTCCTCCCCGGACCCCCCTCCATCAACGGCGACTCCTTCCACCACGGTAAGCCCCCCCGAACCCGACGCCGCGCACTATGACCCCGCCGGATCTGAGATCCAACATGTACTCATGTCTCTTTTTGATCTATTATTACCACACACTAAGTTCGATCTCTTCCCCTTGGTTTTTTATACCTGCTAAGTATTCTATAGAATGCAGGTTTAAACTCCTTATCAGTACTGTGCCTCCTGTGTCACTGTGTGCTTGCAAAGTATTAGTTGAGTGCTAGAACTACTGTCTTCAGTCACTATCAGCATTCCATATGATTCCATTTCATTGAAGTGCTATTTATTTGAACAATATTCGTGCTATTTTACTATATGAGTAGGAGATAACATATATAAGTTTGTTTATATCATCATATGTTCATCATATTTCAAACTAGACCTGATTTAATGAGTTTCTTCTATACTTGTATATTGAATGCTAAGTATGGAGTGTTACAACTCATGGTTTTCATTGCATTCAGCATTCAGTTGGTTCATCAAAGTGGTTAGTTTTTCTTGAACAATTTTTGCGTTGTCTTTAGTAGGTGAGTTAGGTGATAACTGATAACTAGAAAATCCTTTGAATGTTTATGCATTATTAATAGGTCTGATTTTAGATATTTTATTCTAGATTTGTTACTAAAAGTCATCTGTACATGAAGAGATGCTAGGTTACTCAGATATATATCTTCGGTGCACTTGTGTTATTTGATTATCATGCAACTAGCTGTGGAATCATTTTGCTTCCATGCTCCAACTTTTACTAAGATTATGTTACACAGTAGACATGCGATGTTCTTTACCCCTTTCAATGTTTAGTTTTTCAGATTAGGTTTTTCATCTTACTATTGTGCTCTATGCTTGCACTGTAGACATAGAAGGGACGTTTCGTCCGGTTGTGATCAGCGCTGCCCAAACTGGCAGCGTCGTCGGCTTCGTCTTGCTCTCTAACTGCTGGCAGGCACTACAACCTCCGCTCAAAAGGCCGAAAACGGCCGCAAAAGGCAAGTTAGGGAGACTATTTGTCATTTTGCAGTTTGCATTTGGTTTTTAGTTGTCCTTTGCAAATGTATGCTCAGCTCTCAGTTTCCAGCAGATTCTTGGTTGTGTGCAGTTCCATCCTCTAGGCTGTTGACACAAGCCACATGGCTGTGATTTCTCTCTTTTTTGTGTGTGTTGCCTTTGTTGTTGTCTCCTTTTTAGTTCTCTACGTTTCCCGAGGGTTTGGCTGTGGTGCAGAAATAGCACAGTACCAATTGATTCCTATAATTCATTTAAGGGACAAGTGTTCTAGTTATTTAGTTCTTTGGTTTGCTCTATGCTGCCTACACTTTCAGGCAACTAGTAGTATCCACGATAGAAGAAAGCATTACAAATCAATTAGTATATCTATACCAGCAGATTTTGCGACTGGTGCATTACTAATAGCTTTGTCGATCCTTGAATCAGATGAGCCAGGACCATGCTGTGTGGGAGGACAGAGCAACCTCTGTCCTTCTTGACCTCATCATCCAGCAAAAAGAGCTCTGTCACTGGACCTCTGCCCACGGTCCAACCTCACTAGCGTGGACCAAAATCACTCATGACTTCAACCAAATCACGGACCTTGGGTACAGCAGGAAAGTTTGCCAGAACAAGTACAACGAGCTGAAACGTTGTTACTTCAACTGGCGCGACGGCCAGACCCATACTGGGCTAGGCCGTGACCCGCTGACTGGAGAGGTTATAGCTGACCCCAAGTGGTACGGCGCCAGCCCCGGGGTACTAACTACACGCATTTCGTTGATTTTTTGTAGCAATTAGCTTCCTACTAACTCAGTACTAACTTCAACATCACTGCCACACGTGCAGGAAAGTAGCCAACCTGCTAGAAACAAGTTCAAACGGCCCCAATGCTGTGAGCAACTGATCACGATTTTGGGACGCACCCCACGTGACAGGGGCCAGTTGGTATCGGCGGGGGGCCATCGACCTGACAAGTCACCCAGTAATGGAAGCCCTCGCACTCCTCCAGCCTTGTCGGACGAGCCGGTCGACCCACCTAGTACTCATCAGCCCTCGAAGAGAGTCTATAGGGAATTTTCAGTGAACAGTCCTCGTAGCAAGAAGAGTAGCCAAACTCCATTTGTAGAAGAGTGCCTTGAAGACCTCGGCCAATTTCTCAGAGAGGCTAGGTCCCAGAAGGCCCGTCACAAAACCGATGCTCAAGAGTTGGCCCAAGTCCGAAACATTCTGCTATAAGATGGTATTAGCGAGGCTGATGAAGTATTCGTGCAAGCCCTGAACCTTTGCAGAGACAGACTTAGTCGCCAGGGTTTTCTAGACATGGAATCTAAAGAGGGCTGGCAGAACTAGATCAAAGTGACGTGGGCCTTTGAGTGCTCCAACAAGTCCCACTGATCAGCACATTCCTTGTTTTTCGCCTGTTTGCGGATATCCACCATGTGCATGTTGAGTTCATTTGGGTTGTTGTATCCTTATGTTCGTTTTTTTCTTATAACCAAAGACCATTGTTGAGAACTAAGTGCATGTCGTTGTCACGTGTTTTGAATAAAAAATTAGTGTACTGCTGTGAGTGTTGTAACAAATTATTCGTGTATCACTTTTCCCATGTACATTCCAACCTGTTTTGAAGGTCCTACCTAGTTCAGGTATCGTCACATGTTCAGTTATTTGCACTTGATTTGTTCCTAATATTGGCATTACAATATGTCTTATGTCTGCCCAATTGCAGGTAGCATCATGAGCAGCATGAGCAGCACTGACGAGTCATACTACAGCGACACTTCCAAGTGAAGGACCGAGTAATGTGACCATGGCAAAGGCAGCATTTGTCCTGCTGAAAGGGCTTATGTCACAGCAAAGGCCTGAGGTAAATCCTCCTTGTCCCATTCCAAAGCTAACGGGAGCCCAGTGGATGCATCTTACACTAGCCGACAATACCAGATGTTTAGAGAATTTGTGCATGTCACCTGATGCCTTCATGCATTTGCATGAAATCCTGCTGCCGTTTGGGCTGCCAGAAACAGATAAGTGCACCTCGGTAGAAGCTCTAGGCATGTACATCTGGACCTGTGCCCACCAATCGGCTAGTGTTCAATTATGTAAACATGACCGTCCCAATATTCAAAGTTGCCTAGCAAATTTTGTACATTTGATTTCACCTTGCGCTGCGAAGTGGTTACAAATACAAAGTCATGGCATGTAGACACATGAGATTCGCAAACAGACACCTACAGTATTAGGAGTACCTGGGAGATCTTTTACAATGTGATTGTGGCTGATCTTATGTACTTGCATGTTTTGATTGCTGTACTTTTTTTTCTTGGCTCAGGTTGGCAACCTTGCAGGTCCAGTAGAAGAATGGACTGTTGGTGCAACACCATTGACATCACTGATGGATGTCGAGAGGAGGCACGGTAATTTTCTTGCTTGACCTTGTTTCCAACTGACGGCTACTCTACTGTGTTCTAGTAACATTCTTCTTGATGTTTATTCAAGTAGCAACCAATGTGTGACATGCCTTTCTTGTTTCCTTTTTGGTTGATTAGCAATCATATTTTGGCTATAACTTGTGCTGCATCATTTGTCACTTCCAGTGTAACTTTTGACATTGTTCTCTGCAATCAGGCAAGTTCAAGCCAGTGATAAAGAAGGATATGGTGGAACTTGATGGTACGAAGTACTCTGGAAAAGAGTTTTATGGGCATCATATGAAAAGAGATCCAATAGCGTGGACTTTGAGTATCGACGCTTGGTGAATGAAACTATATGGTGTTGTACAAGTTATTGTGAATCCATGGAACAAATGTTGATTGTGTGTTGTGTGGATGTAACATATGTACTGTAGATTCATGGTTAAACCTGTTGTTGTTGGCTGGAATTTCGAACTCAGCATGATCATGACATGGCTGGTAGTTTGAATTTGAAATGTTAAAATCACCATGAGCTACTGTTGGTGCCATTATTTGAACTTTTAAAAAGATACAGTGGGCTGGAGGCTGGCTGGAGACTGCAAATGGCTGGCTGGGCTGGCTGGTCCAGCCCCAGCCTCAGCCAGCCTACCGAACACGCTGCCAATTGACAAGAATTGAACTCAAGATTTTCATTAAAAAAAACAATTAAACTCAAGATAAAAGAGTAAAAGCAAATAAACCACTTGACATTCAGTTGAAATGTTGCGATAGAAGCACTAAAGTTGCTCCGAAAAAGCATAGAAGTTGAAATGGAGTAGTAGTATTCTAGAGTACATCTGATTTCATATCAGATCATAAGAAAATAGCTGCACCTAATGTGGAAGTAAGACTGTATTCAGGAAAGCAGAGGGGCAAACAAATGTCAAGGCAGCCGTCAGAAAGATATTTGTATCTGCTTGTAGCCTAGTAAAGCTTTCCAGATTACTAGTAACATCTTCTGGTCTAACCCCATATGTGATGGATTATGTGCTCTAAGATATGCATACACTCATGTAATGTAATTAAAATGATAGAAATCAGAATTATTCTTACAACAACAACAACAACAACAATAAAACCTTTAAGTCCCAAACAAGTTGGGGTAGGCTAGAGTTGAAACCCAGCAGAAGCAATCAAGGTTCAGCCACGTGAATAGCTGTCTTCCAAGCACTCCTATCTAAGGCTAAGTCTTTGGGTATATTCCATCATTTGAAGTCTCCTTTTATTGCCTCTATCCAAGTCAACTTCAGTCTTCCTCTGCCTCTCTTCACGTTACTATCCTGGCTTAAGATTCCACTACGCACCGGTGCCTCTGGAGGTCTCCGTTGTACATGTCCAAACCATCTCAACCGGTGTTGGACAAGCTTTTCTTCAATTGGTGCTACCCCTAATCTATCACGTATATCATCGTTCCGAACTCGATCCCTTCTTGTATGACCGCAAATCCAACGCAACATACGCATTTCCGCGACACTTATTTGTTGAACATGTCGTCTTTTCGTAGGCCAACATTCTGCACCATACAACATAGCAGGTCTAATCATCGTCCTATAAAACTTGTCTTTTAGCTTATGTGGTACCCTTTTATCACATAGGACACCAGATGCTTGCCGCCACTTCATCCACCCTGCTTTGATTTTATGGCTAACATCTTCATTAATATCCCCGTCTCTCTATAGCATTGATCCTAAATATCGAAAGGTGTCCTTCCTAGGCACTACTTGACCTTCCAAACTAATATCTTCCTCCTCCCGGGTAATAGTGCCGAAGTCACATCTCATATACTCAGTTTTAGTTCTACTGAGTCTAAAACCTTTGGACTCCAAAGTCTCCTAACATAACTTCAGTTTCTGATTCACTCATGTCCGGCTTTCATCAACTAGCACTACATCGTCCGCGAAAAGCATACACCAAGGGATATCCCCTTGTATGTCCCTTGTGACCTTATCTATCACTAAGACAAACAAATAAGGGCTCAAAGCTGACTTTTGATGTAATCCTATCCTAATCGGGAAGTCATCCGTGTCTCCATCACTTGTTCGAACTCTAGTCACAACATTGTTGTACATGTCCTTAATGAGCCCGACGTACTTCGTTGGGACTTTATGTTTGTCCAAAGCCCACCACATAACATTCCTTGGTATTTTATCATAAGCCTTCTCCAAGTTAATAAAAACCATGTGTAGGTCCTTCTTCTTCTCCCTATACCGTTCCATAACTTGTCTTATTAAGAAAATGGCTTCCATGGTTGACCTTCCGGGCATAAAACCAAATTGGTTCATAGAGACCCGCGTTATTGCTCTCAAGCGATGCTCGATAACTCTCTCACATAGCTTCATAGTATGGCTCATCAACTTAATTCCTCGGTAATTAGTACAACTTTGAATATCCCCTTTATTCTTGAAGATCGGTACCAATATATTTCTCCTCCACTCATCAGCCATCTTGTTCGACCGAAAAATATGGTTGAACAGCTTGGTTAGCCATACTATAGCTATGTCCCCGAGGCATCTCCACACCTCGATTGGGATATCATCCGGTCCCATTGCCTTACATCCTTTCATCCTTTTCAACGCCTCTCTGACCTCAGATTCTTGGATTCTCCGCATAAAGCGTCTATTGGTGTCATCAAAAGAGTCATTCAACTGAAAAGTTGTATCCGTATTCTCACCATTGAATAATTTGTCAAAATACTCTTGCCATCGATGTCGGATCTCATCCTCCTTCACCAAGAGATGCTCCCTTTCATCCTTAATGCACTTAACTTTGTTGAAGTTCCTTGTCTTTCTCTCACGAACCCTAGCCATCCTATAAATGTCCTTATCTCATTCCTTCGTACTTAAACGTTGGTAAAGATCCTCGTACGCTCTACCCTTTGCCACACTTACAGCTCGCTTTGCAGTTTTCTTTGCCACCTTGTACTTCTCTATGTTGTCCACACTCCTGTTATGGTACAAGCGTTTATAGCACTCTTTCTTCTCCTTAATAGCCCTTTGGACTTTCTCGTTCCACCACCAAGTATCTTTAGTCTCGCCTCCACTTCCTTTGATTACTCCACACACCTCTGAGGCCACCTTTCGAATGTTGGTTGCTATCTTCTCTCACATGTTGTTTATGTCCTCTTCTTCCTTCTAAGAGCCCTCTTTGATAACTCTTTCCCTGAATACCTCTGACGCCTCCCCTTTCAGTTTCCACCACTTTGTTCTTTCAATCTTAGCTTGTTTATCCCTACGAACGCGCACCTGAAAATGAAAGTCTGACACCAAAAGCTTATGTTGAGAAACAACACACTCCCCTGGTATCACCTTGCAACCCAAGCATGCTCGTTTGTCCTTTCTTCTTGTGAGGACAAAGTCAATCTGGCTAGAGTGTTGTCCGCTACTGAAGGTCACTAGATGAGATTCTCTCTTTTTAAAGAAAGTGTTGGCTATCATCAGGTCAAAAGCTACCGCGAAGTCCAGAACTTCCTCCCCCTCCTGATTCCTACAACCATACCCAAAACCTCTATGAACTGCCTCGAAACCTACGCTTGTAGTACCTACATGCCTATTAAGATCTCCTCCTATAAAAAACTTCTCACTACTAGGTACAACTCTAATCAAGCCATCTAAGTCTTCCCAAAACTCTCTTAGCACTCTCGTCAAGGCCTACTTGGGGGGCATACACACTAATTACGTTCAAGACCATATCACCAATGACAAGCTTGACTAAGATAATCCTATCTCCTTACCTTCTCACTCCCACCACACTATTCTTGAGGCTCTTATCAATCAAAACTCTTACTCCATTTCTATTCGCAACTGTCCCTGTGTACCAAAGCTTGAAACTTGTATTGACCACCTCCTTCACCTTCTGACCCTTCCATTTAGTCTCTTGAACGCATAATATATTTACACGCCTCCTAGTTGCAGTATCAACTAATTCTCTTAACTTACCTATAAGTGACCCTACATTCGAACTACCTAAACAGATCCTAGTTGGTTCGACTAGCTTTCTTACCCTTCGAATCAGAATTATTCTTAAATACTTACAATTGGCCCATTTTCAAGGACATGTTCTTTGGCAAATTTGCAAGCTTGCTTCACAGCAAGAACATCCATTCCATCGACCTACACCAAACACAAGGTGAAGGTACCATTTCAGTGCCAAGCATTAACTAGATTGCAGATATGAAGACCAAAATCAACATCATATTATGCAGATTATGCTGAACAAGGGGATCCCAAAAGGATATCAATCTCGACAATACTAACATAAATTAAACGACCAAGCCCCAGAATATGCAAAACACATAGTGCTTTTAGTCCTTCAAAAACGACCATTTGTTTCAGCAAACAATTTGAGATCAGAACAAACCCAACCGTATCACAGCCAAATAATTCAACACTGAACTCCGGCGCAACCAAATTTGCGTTTACGAAACTAATCAATTACTATTCACTTCACTCCGAACTAAACAAATAAACCAAACAGAAAAAAAAACTCTTTACCTTTAACCCAGGCACATAGTCCCCGCGCTTGTAGTAAGCCGGGCTCTTGGAGGCCCTCCACTCTGCCATCCCCATCCCATCTGCATAAACCAGGTAGGTACTCCAAAATTACTCCACTTCCGATTTCGGAATCACACGGCCGAAACAGTACGACCAGCCGACCAGGCACATGGTAACAGAAGAACTCACAGTGGTTGTTCTCGCAGACCAATACGACAGGCAGCTTCCAGAGCCCGGCCATGTTGAGCGCCTCGAAGAGCTGTCCCTGGTTGGCGGCGCCGTCGCCGTAGAGGTCAAACGTGACGGTGCCCTCCTTCCTGTACCTCTGCGCGAAGGCGATGCCGCACCCAAGCGGCACCTGCGCGCCGACGATGCCATGGCCGCCGAAGAAGTTGGCGTCCCGCTTGTAGAAGTGCATGGAGCCTCCCTTGCCCCTGGAGCAGCCGTCCCGGCGGCCTATGAGCTCGGCGAAGGCGGCGACGAGGTCCCCGCCGCGCGCGAGGTAGGCGAGTGGTCGCGGTAGGCGGTGATGATGGCGTCGGCGCGCGTGATGGCGGCCTCCATGCCCAGGGCGACGGCCTCCTGGCCGTCGTAGAGGTGGCAGAAGCCCCGGATGAGCTTGGCCTTGTAGAGCGAGTCCGCCGCGATCTCGGCGCGCCGCATGAGCGACATGTCGCGGAACAAAGACAGCAGCTCCCGCGCCGTGGTGGTGGCCTCGCGCGACGGCGGGTCCACGATGTGGGACTTGAACGGCACCGAGGTCTCCACGGTGATCGCGTCCGTGGAGTCGGAGACACCCCGGGAGAGCAGGGGTAGGGGTAGCGGCAGCGGCAGCGGCGCCACGCGCGGGCTGGCGGCGGCGGTGGGGGTAACGCGGCGGAGAATGGCCGCGGCCATGGCGTGCAGGGTGGCGGGAACGGGCGCGGCAGCGCAGAGGTGCACGAAATCGCCGGGTTTTGCCGGGGGTAGGGGATTTCGGGTTGTTTCTCGCTGGTTCGGCGTAGGTGTCGAGCAAGCCGCTGGAGCTGGGAGGTGTTCGGCAGAGTGGCGGGGCACTTGGGCTGGGCAGACGGGCAGTGCTGGCGTCAGTCGCTCGCGGGCCGTGTGCCCGTGTGCTGCGTGGAGACGCCGCGTGGTGCAGACTCGCTCGGCGCGGGGTATAGTCATGCAGCCCGACCCGGCCTGTTTTTTTTTTTGTCCGGCCCAAGCATAGCCTGGCCCGGCGGCTAGCTGGCTCGGCATGGAGGAGCAGGCCATGCCTGGACCTTACCTCAGGCACGTGGGCCGGCACGACACGGCCTGCTACAGAACAGGCGGCCCGGCCTGCCGGCCTGCTAAGAGCCCCTTGGTGGTGCCGAGCCGCACTCCCTCTCCCCGCTCAGTGACGCGCTTCTTCTCCCTTGCTCACTCGCTCAGTGACGCGCTTCTTCTCCCTCGCTCACCCGCACGGCGCCGCGCTCCTTCTCCCTCCGTGCGCTGGCCTCCCTCCCTCCTTCCCTCTCCCTCGCCGTGTGCTGGCCACCATCCCTCTCCCTTCTCTGGTGCGCTCGCCTCCATCCCTCCCTCTCCCTCCTCTGGTCCGCTCGGCTCCCTTCTCTTCCATGGCGGCGACGGCACATGGCCCTAGAGCGGCGGCGCGGTCCTCAAGGAGCGGCGACGCACGGTTCTCGAGGGGCGGCGGTGCTGCCAGGAGCAGGCGGCGCATCCACCGAGCTCGTAGCCCCGACGAGATCCGGCGGTTTCGTGAGATCCGACGCGAGGAGGCTAAGGACGACGAGATCCACGCGTGAGGAGGCGTGTGGCGCTCCCCGGCGGCAGATCCAGGGTGGGCGCGCTCACCGGTGGCGGATGCAGGGCATGCCCGTCCTCCGGCAGCGGATCAAGGGTGGTGGTATCCCCTGGCGGTGGATCCAGGGGGTGCTCAGCCTCCGGCGGTGGATCTAGGGTGGTGGCGTCCCCGGCGGCGGATCGGGGGCAGGCGCGACCGGATCCAGGGACGACGAGCGTGGTGGCTGGCCTCGAGCGGCTCCTCCGGATCCATCTTCGAGGGCGTCAGCCTCCTCGGTGGCGAGCGCGCTAGCCTCCTCCAGATCCGACGTCGATCTCCTCGGCGGCGAGCGGCGTCAACCCCCTTCCCCTCTCTCTGTCGGCAGCCAGTGGGCTTTAGGCTAGCACGACCTGTGAAATTGGTCGTGCTTCACGGGCCAGCACCGCACGGAAATCAGCCCATAGTGTCGTGCCTGGGCCGGAGGCCAGGGCCGTGGCCCTGTGAGGCACGGCACGGGAGGCACGGCGTGCCATGTCGGCCCATTGGCTATCGGGCCGTGCTGGCATGGGCCCGTGCCGGACCGGCCCATTGGCCATCTATAGCGCAGGGGCGTCGTGGCGTCACGCGACGGACGGGAACCGGGAGGGCGCGTGCCGTGTCAAACACAGTGATGTGAGCTTGACTTTCCAACAGAAAAGCTTACGGATACGTGCCAACATTTCACTAGACAACCGCCGGCGATCGCTTTTGGCCTGTCCAGGACGTTGGCACTACACAGTGGACAGTTGGACACGAATCCCCGGTATGATATAACTGAAAGACCTTCGGCGTAGATAATTGGGTAATGCTTAGCTTAGATGGGCCTGATGATATACCTCATCCTAGGACAGTTGCGGCCATGGCTTCGCAGCGACGTGGCCGCCGGTGTCGTAGAAGTGTAGGCGCAGTGCAATGATGGCGGTCGAAGGCGATGGCGCTTCCCGTCGCTCACAATGCCCCTTTAGACCGGACTAGGGTTAGAAACTTCGAGGTGGGACTGGCGGCTATCGGTGAACCTCATGCCTTGTGCCCTAGCCCCCATCATCCTTTTATGGCGCTGCGCGACGGGGGCTCATCAGCTAGTAGAAAAGTTGAGCGCCCCTGATCAGAGCGTGGATCAAGAGCTCAATTGGCCGACCTAACATTCCCCCCTTGATCTCACCTTATGACTGTTTACACCAGAATTTGGAAGAAGGATTTCAGAGGCTCGAGAGCTCCCAGAATCATGTTAGTAAGGGATCAATTGCGTGTAGATCAAAACCAGCTGATTCGAATATGGCACTAGAATCGGCTTTCTTCAGATAGCGCCAACAGATAACGACAGAGGCTATGATTGGCGCTGGGATGAGACATGATGGACTCTACAAAAATGGAAAGATTAGAGTCCAAGTTATCTTAAATTAGAACTGTTTTCATTTTATGCCAAAAGTTGTAACAAATCGTGCTCGAGTAGGATTCATGTTTAGACTCCGGGTATAAATATCAAACCTCGGCTATTGTAAAGGGACACAATCAATTAAATACAAGTCAATTTACTTTTTCGGCTCCGGCCACCCCTTAGGAGTAGGAGTAGAGTAGATTTCGGCGAGTTCTTCAGCAAGTACGGCTGCATCGATCCGGTCGACCTCCACTACTTGTCTGTAAGTACCGTCATGGTTTATACCTCTGTTCGTATGGCTGCATCGATCCGGTCGACCACCACTGCGACTCTGGTATAGGCTAGTTATCGACTCTTGCCTAGTTCAAGTATGGCATGTGTGATTCTGCCTCACACCCCACTGCTTGAACTAGATCAAGGTCAAGTTATCGGCTCTACCTTTGAATGGTAGTCTTTGGTAGATTCATTAAGTTACCGATATTGCTTATTGCTTTCATTATTTATCTAATCACAGCAATATCACTCTGCCCGATTGAGATTGATCTAGATCGACCTTATATCTTATTTAACCTATCGTTTGCTAATCTAAAACTGATCTAATCTATACTTTAAACGATGAGTTATGTTTTTATCGGCTGTTTTTATATCAATCTTAATCGTGCATAGCGTGCGGTTAAGGCATGTTCGATCTTGAGTAGATCTATTGGTTAGCGAGAACCATTCCATGGCTCGTTATCACGGCCTGTGGGATTCTGGCTCTCACCCCACTGTTAGCACCGTGGAGTGGGGATCGTTAGTTGATAGATCCGTTCCTGAGAAGGCATGACCTTAACTGTGCGCTATGCCTAAATCGGCTATTTAGCCGATATCGAGCGCTCTCATGAACAGTTCACATTACGAGATCATTGAAGTAGAGATAAGTTGAAAGATATGTTAGCCCCATGATCTTGTTATTGTATTACGGCCTGCATGATTCTGCCTCATGCCCCACTGATATTAGTATTGAGTTAGGGTCATCGAGTCTATTATTGTTTCCACGACCTGCATGATTCTGCCTCATGCCCACTGGTCATGACGATAGATGAGATCTAACATGTTCATTAGATTTATCTTTATTAGATGGTTAAGTGGTGTTGAATTGTTTCTTTATATAAACATGAGTTCGGTTACTTGTAATCATTGGCTCAGCATAAACCGCCCATCATCAATATCTTATTGCCATTGATTAATGTTTGCTTAAATGATATTTATTCTGAATGATAACCGATTCTTCTTACACAACCCCATAAGCTTTAACCGATTTATTCTTTTGAATATGCTGGAATCGACTATTTAGTCGATCTCCTCTCATTTCGGCTCTCAGAGCCGCACATTCGGGACTGTCTGGCAACACCGGCATGTTTCGCCCTTAATTACTGATAAACTTTCTCTCCTTGTCAATTATAGGGTCAAATTGACTGGCACATCTCAGGAGGATTGTGCAGGATTGACCACCCTTGCGCTGAAGCTAGGCGGATCTGCTCCATCGGGCGGACCCTTCCGGCTTGCTGCGTGTGTCCTCGGCACGGGACGAAATTCTGTGTCGACACATGTTTCTGGCACGCTCGGTGGGACCCCACAATCGTCATGGCGGTTCACAACAATGACAACATCCTGATGGTACATTATGAAGACCTACCTGATAAAGATAAGGGTACCATCAACAAAGCTACAGAAGAATTTCAGAAGAAGTGTTTGTTGTCCTACACCAAAACACGTGACAACACCATTATTCAGAAATTTCCACTACCAAGAGTTCTACTACACGGGCAGACAGATACAGTCGAAGCTGAAGAAAGGCGTTTCTTTACGGAAGCCATAGACAAATCTGTTCGAGATGCTCTATCAAGCCGCAATGAAGCTTTCGTTGACGCATTTCACAACGCCATGAAAGAGGCGATTCATGGAATTCCAGTTAGTCAAGTTAGATCGACTTGTTACAACATTCCAGATCCGTTGACCCAAGGGGCTAATCAAGTCGGCACCAGCCATCAAGAAGCAACACCAGCTAGTAATGGTGATGTCCAGGCACTTCAAGGTTCATCTAAACAAACTCCAGGTACTACCACGAATCAGATACAGTACAATCCTGGACCATCGATACAGCATGTGCAACAGCCGGCGGGGCAAAGTCAAAACTAGATGATCAATTTTGGCACATCGGGCCATATACCGTCGTCGGCTCAAAAGATAGCACCATCAATTCAAAGGATCCGTAGAGATATAGATCCTTATGTCTATAATCAGAGACTTCAAGCAGCAAGCCAGCAGAGGACCCAACAGATTGAGGTTCCACAAGGCTATCACTATGGCACGGATTATAGCACCTTCCATATGATACCAAATCCAGGATATCAAGGCACGCGAGATTTCAATCCACAGATGGGTCAGCAAGTGCTGAGAAATCCAAATCCGCAAGCTGACGAGTTGCTGCTGAAGGTGACCGAGATGATGAAGAATCAGTTCGGTCTAAAGCCAAAAGGAATAACTTTTTTGTACAAACGTCCATATCTAGAATGGTATGATTTGGTCGCTCTTCCTACAAGTTATAGGCTCCCAGAGTTCGCCAAGTTCACTGGTCAAGACAGTACAAGCACAATAGAACATGTCAGTCGGTATCTTATACAATTGGGCGAAGCATCGGTTAAGGATGCCCATCGAGTTCGTTTCTTC